CCACAAGCCAGTTATCCCTGTGGTAACTTCCTTCGTATAAAGACATAGAGAGGACGTAGTTAGCAGGAACTTTAGCGCTAATGAAATACTGCTCCCTCTATCGTTTTCTACTTCACTACTAAAGCAGAACTAGCCTTCACCGGCCATTTCCTAGCCTTAAGATTCTTTGCGGGCCGATCTAGGTTGATAGTATTGCTAGATGTAGAGCTTGGCTAGGGCAGCACATCTCTTAAGCTATAACGCAGGTGATCTAAGAGGGACTCATGGAGAACAGAAATCTCCAGTAGAGCAAAAGGGCAAATGTTATCTTGATTAGAGTTAAGCTCAAGGTAAGGGCACCGCTAGGGGTAGGGCCTAAGGCTTAAGTGTATTTGATATCGCAACTCGCAAGATCTAGACATAGTAAGTATTGACAGATAAGGAGCGCTTTCTTGATTTTGAAGGTGGTATATGGGCACTCTAATTGGTGCAGTCATTTGTCTGCTTGGTCGCAACAATAGACAAGGGTTGAATGGTGGACAGTGCTTTGGTGGTTCACTAGCTTCTTGTAGGTGAAGACGGTAGCTCCTGTCATCAACGTCGGCTCTGTAATGCCTCTGATTCAGGTACGCCGGGCTAGTGATGCAGCGTCATGATCTCGCCTTACCCTCTGGGCTCGATCCGTCGTGGGCACGAACGCTGCATGCCATCGTTGTGTCCGCTCAGGATACCTTCGGCAACGAGATGCCTTGTACCCCGGCACCGCTCAGCTGGCCAGGACTCTTGCTATAGGACCTGCTGGCATTTATGTGGTCGGTGATAGGAAGTATGTGAACCAGCAAGAGGACTGCACAGCTTGCTAGGAACCTTGCTTGAGTATTGGGCGATTGTCAAAGTGCAAACCCGGAACGGCAGCTCCATGCTGGGTTTCGAGAAATGAATGACCACGCCAATGCAAAATCCGGATCTAGCGTTTATTCAGGGCTGGACAACTTGGAACTTCCAGCGTCACGTTCGGTTCAGATTCAATCCCGATATGAGCTGATGATACTTGGAGCGTCCGAGACAATTCCTGATATATTCGTGGTTCCGTAGCCGGCCAGCCGGCGGAAGAGACTCCCACGGATGAAGCGATTAGCAATGATGATGTATACTGCCTATTTCAGACCATATGGCCGTCAGCAGTGGGCAGTCGCTGTTCGTGAGCACGTCAGGACCGTGGGATGAGGAGCCACCGGTGATATAGGTGCTGAGTGGCACGATTTCTTCGTCCTGGAAGCAGGCAGCCATCTTGGATCGGGAAGTCGGGTGCCGCAGGCCTCTGTCGTTTGACTTTTACGGCAAAGCCACCGGGCACGAAGCACATGCTTTCACCATAACTATCCCACAGCACGAACCTTTCACGACGGAGCGAGTATGAAAGTCCGGCAAGCAATGAGAGTATCATCATTATCTCGTACAAACAGTACACAAAAAGCGATATCTGGCCCGCTCATCGCATACCCTTCTCGACCTCGGGACTCCCAGGACCTTCCATACTCCTTTCCCGCACCAGGACCCGCTTCTGTCGCTTCGCAGGCGTGATCGCATCCGCCCGTGCAACGCCCACCTCCTTCTCCAGATCACCCACCGGCGTCTCGCCTCGGGCCAACGGACTTCGCCTGCCTCCGCCAACGCCCGGCTGATGTGCACTCAGTCTGCTGTCACTGCGTGTGTAGCCATAGCCATATGGCATATGTGAATCCCTTGTCCTGGCTGGAGACTCTCTTCCATCCCCGCCCGGCCCCAACGCACCCGCCATGACCTGTGAGTCGTTCGCGTAGCTCATCTCCCCCGCCGATGGCGGCATGGGTGCACTGCGATGGGTGATGCCAGCGTTGAACCCTCCCTTGATCTGATCCTGCTTGCGGTCGTAGCGGCGTTTGATGAACACGGCGATCAGCGCGAGGAGGAGCAGGCCGACAAACAGGGCAATGAGCATGATGACCCATTTCTGTTGCGATCACGAGTCAGTAGTGAAAGTCAAATCCGTGCCTTCCCGAACGTACATAATGCAGGCTCCACCAAGACCCCTTCTGTCCAGATGAGTTGCTGCTGCTGCTATCACTGCTGGAAGAGCCGGCGGCCGCTCCTGCTGTGTTCGTGCTGCTGGCGACCGTGCTGGCGGCTGGGCTCGTGCTCGTGGACGTGATGATGACGGTCGTCGCGCCGCCGGCATTGGCATGCTCCGATTGCCCAAAATCACTGCCGCAGTTGGTGGTGTACCAGGTCATGACCTGCTGGTTGTCGCTCGGGTTCGTGCACACCGAATCACAGATCCCCGCCGGCGAGGTGTACAGGCTATGAAGATAGCCCGACTGGCAGAAACACGACCAGATCTGCTGGGTCGCGCTCGTTGTGCCGCCGCATGCTGCCGCGGCTTGCGAGAGGAGCGGACAGGTCGATGCGCACGACGGGAGCTGGCTGTTGCCGTTCGTGAGGAGCTGGGCGGATCCGAGGGCGGCCAGCGCGGCGAAGAGGAAGAGGAAGAGGAAGGACGCCATGGCGGGCGATGTGTGTCCCGGACACGCGATCAAACCGTGGCTGGGGTGTGATGTTGTGGATGCTGCTGGTTGTATGGAATTGCTCGTCGTGAGGAATGTAGCAAATGCGCCCGGGCAGGAGCTACTGGTGAATGCGATCAGGCGCGCGCTCGGGGGGAAGGCGCTTTCGACTGCGATGCAGATGAAGGAAGGTGCATTCGAGATCGAAATGACACCAGAGCAACCAGCGCTCGACGTTGCGTGGATGTGACGCAGAGAACGAAATGATCAATTGAAGCAAACACCAACTTCACTCCTGCCGAAGCTCGATTGGCGATACCAATACTGTATGCAGGTCCGCTGAGACAGGCAGGGATGGCTGCGGGGAGATTCCTCCATCCCAGGGTCTCGGCTGAATTGCAACGACTATCCGAGCATCTTGGCACGACTAGACTCCATGGAATAATAATAATGCATCGTGCGAACTGCCATGCTTTTGCTTGTTATGGCGAATGCTGAAGCTTGAACTCCATACCACGACATCTCTCCCTGTCAGATCAATACCTCCGTCGTCGACGTTAACAGGTACAGCCATGCACAGCAATGTCATCTCCTAGCAACGTCTTCGTGTAAGACCTGTGAGATGAGATTGTTACAGCGCGATCTTCACGTTTTTAGAGTAGACCAATACCCAGTGAGACAAAAGAAGCCACAACGGCACATGTGCACTCTAGGCAGATACCAAACGTCCGTCCACTGTCCAACGATCGCGCCGTCGTTGCCGTGCTGCCCGCCGCCGTCCTCGCTGCCCACGAGCCCGCAGGGGTTGACACAGACCTGTTCCGCCCATACTGTAGCCGCTGCGCCGAGAGTGGTTGTAAGGACTTCAGCGGTAGCTGGCTGTAAGGCCTTAGGAGGATCATACAGCCCGCGAAGATGAAAGGAGCAGATTGCTCACGCAGGGCCGAGTGGATTCACCCGCTGACTAGACGAGACCATCAAAGGTCGATATGGGAGCGTCGTCGGGCAAGCATTTGCTTAGCAGGCCGATGCTGTCATCTGGCTGGCACAATTTGGCTGCGATGTGCCAGCCAGATGACAGCATCGGCCTGCTAAGCAAATGCTTGCCCGAGGTGTAGATGCTGAACCAAGTCGTACCTCAAGTCTGTAACATTGAAAGCAGCAGTGTCGTGGTCGATCAGACCTACCCATGCATTATTCTCGCGAGGTGCATAGTCGCTACGAAGAGCATAGACAGAGGGGATGAACTCAGCTGCCTCGGAGGATCTCAGTGCAGTCAGGCTAACCAACAGGACACCTGGTCTACCGACATACACATGATCAGACCGACTTGCTACTCTCAAAGGGAAAGACCTTGTAGCCGCACCACCGCGCAACCTGCGCCATAGAACTCTGCATGATCCATGGCACCCCCCACCGCAGAGGACCGAGCCACCATGCCGTTGGGAAAATGACGCCTGCAGTGGCTACCTCCTGCTGTGACAGACAAAGTTGCAGAAAGTCAGGCGTCTGGCCAGCTTCGTACTTCTCGCTGAGCAGCAGGAACAAGCTCTCGAAGAAGTTGATCTGCATCGGCGAGGGAGTAGCTTCGGGATGGGCCCAGAGTACGACGACTGTGTCTTCGTCCGTGCAGGTTGGGTCTGGCCAGAAGTTGTGAGGGAGCCAGGGTCTTTTTGCAGAGGGCAGTCTCAGCATGTCATCTTCGTCGTTGCGAGGTCAGGCGGGAGATGCTTACGGTATCTCATTGACGCCGTCTGCGGGAGTGAAGACCCGATCCTTCGCATCCCAGCCCATGGTGTTGCCGAGTCTACCTGACAACATGACGAACGACTCGGATTGTTCGAAGTGCAGATGGAGGGGTGGCGCCTACATGAGTGCCGTCAGCATTGTAGATCTGACTCGCCAAGGGAGGTCGAGACTCGCCGCCGGGTGAGCTTTGCCCAGCTTCGTGTTCGCATGCTGTCCTTTGAATGTGACCTTGATCACGACTCTGAAGGGCTATCAGCTTACATCACCGCTACCAATCAGCTCTGTATGAGAGACCTACGTCGAGTTTGGCGTGGTGTCGTCGGGCTCCAGGAACTCTACTATTAGAGAGCGGTGGAAGAGTACTAACGGTCCGCACACAACAGGCGATTGCCCTTTGATCGCCGCCATGTTTTCCGACTGTCACGTTGTGGACCCACAAGCATACAGCACTCCCCGTGTCAGTCGGTGTATCACCTCCATACTTCTCTCATTGCCTCTCTTGTCCGCTCGCGTAGTCGGCTGAATTGTTTCAGCCTCACCTCAGTCTTCTTCTGGAATAGTTGCGCCGATCGTGCTGATGACGAAAGCACCACGTGGTTTCAAATCATCCAGTATGCAGGTCTGTGTCGTCGTGAAGGCAAATGATATGAGAGAGTTTGGTTTATGTGATTGAGATATATACATAGCCACGCCTACTGCCCCTTCAGCTTCGCTTCCTCCTCGTCTTTTCGCTTCCTCATCTCCGGTCCCATAAAGCCTTTCACCATGTTCTCTGGTATCAGCCCGAATGCACCGCCTTGTAAAGCATGTCTCCAGTGCGTATGTACCATGATTTGGCCACAACCGACCTTGGCTAGAGCACCTTTCGCACAATCCTTGGCATCGATGGTGAAGAGTGGCATTTCGGACGTGTTGCCTGCAGAGCGAGTATTGTTGATGAGAAGGCTCATGATCTCGATATCCTTGTCCCACTTCTCCGCCACCAATTCTGCGGCCAGAGCACGGGTCAAGCTGAAGATGTAGCCTTTCGTAGCCGAGTATGTGGCGATGTATGGTACGCCCAGATTACCTGCCGCAGAGCCAGCGTTCATGATCAGAGCGGGTCTGTTCTCATGCAGGATCGGCAGGAGAGCGGATGTGAGATGTGTTGGGAAACGCGAATTGATGTTGATCTGCGTGTCAATGTCCGCCGCAGTCATGTCCTTGAACGCGCAGTATGCGGGAGACGTGTTGACGCCACCAACATTGTTCACCAGGATGGTTAGCTTGCCGGGAAGCTGCTTCACCTTCTCCACCACGTTCAACTCTACACGATCATAGCTGGAGGCGTCCGCCACCACGTAGTCGACTGTGCGACGTGGATACTTGCCAGCGAGTTCCTTCTGCACCCGTACCAGCTTCTCCTTGTTGCGGCCATGCAGGAGGACATTGAAACCGCGGTTCAGCAGCTCATCTGCAAACGCACGTCCGATGCCATCAGTCGAACCTGTCACTAATGCCCAGGATCCCTTCTCGGAGTGGCAATATACCTGCAGCGTGGACGGACGCACCATTTGCCAGACTTGGAGGCCAGCTTTGTACAACATGTACAGGATCATGGCGGTGCCCAGATTGGATGTGATGGTTCGCCCTGCATCGGAAGCCCAGGCGCGGTAGAGCGGTAGCACATAATAGAGTGGGATGCCCAGCAGACTGAAGCGGGTGTACAGGTCCCGTTTCAGCTGCTCGTCGTTGGCCATGTTGGCGGGCGAGAAGATTTCTGCGATTGACGGCATGCTGGTCTACTGCGGGTGAGGAGTGTTTGGTATGATGGGAGTCGAGGAGTCGAAAATCCAATCTTAAATGGCCGGGCCCTCGACTGTGTTCAGGCACGAGTTCTGACGTGGAGCAGCATGCGAATCCATCGCCGTTCCGTTTCGAATCCTCCGAGTCGTCGGATTCGCACATTATGCCGCTTGTGATTGGCCGATCGAGACCCGGCCGCGTTCACGTCGCGTTTTCCTCATCACCTCGTTCTGTGCGATAGATCGCATGCTCACACTCCATTTGTTTGACGATGTGAGCGATGCAAAGGTAGTTCCCCCTTCCCATGGTAGGTCTCGCGGTCACTTCAATGTCCACCCTCCTTTCTGATATCCTCCTACCCGCGTCCTCTGCGTTCACTTCTTCTTTCAAACGCCTTCGACACCATGACAAATCGGGTCGCCAGGCCTCGCGTGAGCTCGCTCCTCGCTAGGCGTAATCGACATGGCGTGTATCTCACCAGACTAGGTGTGCAGAAGCTCACAGCTTATGTCCGCCAAACCAAGGACCGTCGCAAGTACGGACTACGCGGGCAGAGAGAAAGGCCAGCAACACCGTCGCTGGAGCCAGCTTCGCCAATCATTGTGCCAGAATCCGAAGCGACCACATCATCACGCGAATCAACTCCATGTCTGCTCCGTTTGATCACTCCGCCACTGCCTCCGCCTCCGACTCCGGAATCACTACCTCCATCTCCAGTGACCAGATCGCCACCCACGCCACCGAGCTCGGAGCTGCCTAGTTCACGCGAGCTGGAGCTGTACAACCGCATCGCCGAGCTCGAGGAGGCCAAGCAAGAGTCCGCCTGCGTCCTGGCCTACAATCTCGACTACAACCTCCAAGAACTCACAGCACTCTTCCGCGAGCACGACGACATCGTGCACGATTTGCTCGAACACTGCGAAGCCCGCTACGAACGCCTCCGAGACTGTCACGTGCAACGTCGACGAAGACATGCAGCTTAGTTGGCCGCTGCACACGACACATGCAAGCGGCGCCACGAATTCCTCTACCGCAGGCTATCACAAGCCATCACGCTCCTGAACGAGATCACTACTCTGCCCGATTATTCCGATGAAGATCCGCAGGACATCGTCGATGGCAAATTCCCGGCCATCATGGATTATGGCAAGATCGTCCGCTGGATTGGCAAGCTGGAGATCGAGGCTGAGGATGCCTTAGGTGCGACTGGGGCGGTCAATCTGCGTGGAAATGTTCAACAGCTGCGGCGTCGTGGCTATGGCTTGACACCAGCTGCTCGCACTGCTCGGCGTGCAGCACAGACTTGATATTGGTGCTTCAGCCTAGTCAACGGTGTGACAGCAGGCTGATCTCTTTCTTGGGACAGATGTGACCCATGAGCAAGGACTCGTCAGAACTGTGTGCTGTCCAAGAAGACTAGACGTCCCTGCAGTACCGGTATCATCGCATCATACGGTACATGTGGTAGGATTCGAGATCGCTTCGGCAACGATGGAGTCGGGTGGGCACACAATGGACAGACACAGCATGATTAATGAATATAAAGTAGCTAACAGATAGGGAAAGACTCGCTATGCTGTAATGTAGTATACGTAGATCGCGACCCATTAATATACTGTATTGTGCCTTACGAACATGACGACCTGGGGAACTACATCCACTTGCTCACGTATTCCCTCGCTAGTCTATGGTGTTTTGGCTATGCTCACGAGGCTTGACGTACGATCTCCGACCAGCTCTCACGATCTATGTAGTCGGCGACGCCAGTTCGATGGACCGAACAGCCCTTTGCTTCGAGCTACGGCTTGTCAGCACGTCTTCCCACGATTCAGTGCGCCGCAACTTACCTCTTCGGGCATCAATACACTCGGATCGCCACAAGTATATCCAAAATCCTCGATGTACCTCATCGTCTGCGAGAAGTGCAACGATAGACCAGTGGGATCCTTGTCAACCCGCTCGTGCAAACTCATGCCGGCCTCATATCGAGCTTGCACACCCGTAACCTTGGTCCATTGGTCCAGCCACTGCTGTCCACTCAGCCACTCACTGACCACAAACACCTGCGTGGGCGCAGATGTACGAATCAAGGCTTCCACGAATGAGCCCAGATCCCTCTGCACATCCACCCACGGCAGTGGTAGATCCGCTTCGAAAGGTGGCGACCACACAGCTATCCTGTCAACCATCTTGAGGCCCCACAAATGCTGTATCTTCTTCACACTTGCCACGAAGACTCCCAGCATGACCGCACTGACCTTGCCCTTCAGTGCGTCGAGACCGAGCATATACTCCAACCCAGCAGCCTTGGCATCGAAATGGTAGACATGCTCGTACTTCCCACCACTCAACCTCTTGACATTCGGCTCTGTGCTGAAGACCAGCCTCTCCAGTTCCGGGACCGTGGCAGCGGCATCAGCTATATTGCGTCCTTGCGAGGCTTCCAACCTGTACGTCTCAGCGCCAATGGGCGCGGCTATCTCGCCTGCTTGGAACCTAGCCAGTGCGCCTTTCATCAGCGCACCGAAGTCCGTGAAGGCGAAGATGTAGTTGGCGCCCCTGAAAGCGGCCTGGAGGGAGTCCAGGTCGAAGAGATCTGCTTTGACCATCTCGATGCCAGATTTGGCCAAATCAGAGGCGGCTGCCGATGATGGGTCGCGGGTAAGGCCTCGGATTCTCCAGGTTGATTCATGTTGCTGGAACCAGTTGATGACGGAACCTCCTTGCATGCCTGTGGCTCCCACTACGACGAGGAGTTTGGTCATCGTGGATGGTGTAAAGGAAGGTGATTTGAAGTATGCAGAGATGAGATATGCCCTGTGGAGAGCCTACTTATACGTCCCGCCACTCTGATCAGGTCGGCATGAGGAAAACCAATGCTACCCGCGCCATGATGCTGCCAGAGGTGTCGTGGCCACTCGTCAAGCCTTCGTGCCGGCACCATTGACTCTTCATCCCGAGCCAGCAGCCAATCAGCGCAGCAGCTGCTCGAGATCCCTGGGTCCTGCCTGCCGCTGTAAGATACTCTGCATGTCAACAGTGCCGGGCATGTTCATGTATATGAGTGCCAAGGACCGGAGGGAACTGGATGTTGGTAAGCGAGCGGAAGTGTTCCGCTCTGCTGGTGAGTGAAGTCTGGGAGTATGTGGCGTGGATGGCTTGATGGATTCGTTGGACAAAGTATGGATTGCTTAAATTCATTCCTAGGATAGTGATATCGAGTGTTCGACGTGTGTTGTGTTACCAATGACGCCGTACCATTTGATGTACACGGGCTATGTGCCGCCCACGGGAGCCCCATACTGTACATAGGATCACTTGTGCAACAACTCCATCCAAAGGCCAATATCCCATCCTGCTTACGCCATACCGCAATGCGAAGCCTTCTAGACCTGCGCCGGAGCGTTCGACCGCTTGTTAACAGCGGCGATACTGTTCGCTCGGGATGCTGTAGGCGTGCCACGGGGTGTGACACGCGACTCGCCGAAAAATCGCTGTTGCTGGCTGTACGTCCTGCCGCCTGCACCTGGGCGACCCTGGGATTCTTTCCTGCCAACGTGGCCTAGAGGTTTTGTTAGCTGTGAACACTGTTCTGGCCGCATTGATGAATACTCACTTGGTCGTCGTCCACTACCATAGCTCGCGACGCTCACTCTCCTTCCACCATCTTCAGCCCTTGCGTCCTGCAACTGCTGAGCAAAAGGTGATCGCTTCCTCAATACCGGGCCCTTCCAGTAGATGACGTAGACAGCGATCACCAACATGAAGGAGATACAGAACAGGATTGTGGAAGCATACTCCAAGTTCCTGCCGCTCGATTTTCCGATGTTCGTGAAGAAAGGGGTGGCCGGCACGGTGAGCACGCCGGCTAGGAAGTCACGAGACCATCCATTCCCACCAGTGGCGGATGCCGAGTATGGACCGTATGCGCAGATCATGTAGTCGATCGTGGCCATGTAAATGGAATAATTGGCGATGCCGACGATGGCGGCAAATATCATGGAGCCTATCCAGTGAATTGGTGGCCCTTGAATCGTCCATGCGAAACCGATCAGACCAATTGGCAAGCACGGTGCGGTGTATAGCAAGAACCACAACCGGGACTCGTACTGTGCTCGCTCGTCGTCAGGGTTTCTCTCACGCTCTTTCATATTGCGCTTGATGGCTGGAATGAACAGGGCCCAGCCGATCAGGTAGCCGACGCCGATGGAGCAGAACGCTAGACCGACCTGGTAGACCTCGAAGTTCCATTGCTTGTACACCAGCGAGAAGGACTGGATGAACATGAAAATGAGGGCGTCGGAGAAACCGGATAGTAGGGAGAGCACCAAGACGATAGGCTCCGTCAAGAACATCTTGAACGGTCGGATCCATGTGACGAGCACCTCTTTGGCGGAGAAGCGGTCCTTGAAGGGTACCAATTCATCTGGACCCCAAATGTTTGGGTTGCCCGCCTTTCTTCGCTTCTTGGCGATGCGGTTCATCATGATCGAGGTACGTGTCTCCGGGACAGTGAAGAAGTGGATGGCTTGGATGACGCCGCCGAAGATGAGCTGAATCCAGATGTTCCATCTGAGGAGCATTTTGTTAGTGATAGCTCAAACGGTCTTCTTGCACGATTAGTACTCACTGCCAGTACGTATACTGCTCAACGAAGCCTCCCACGATAGGCCCGAGCACGGAGCCACCGACAGAGGAGAAGACGACGAAAGCGACAGCGTATTGCTGCTTGTCCGACTCGAACAAGTCTGCAATCATACCAAGTGTGACGGAGCCACCTGCGGAGGAAAGACCACCGAGCGCACGGCACACGATGATGGTGGCGAAATTGGGTGCTAACGCCACAGGAATCTGCCAGATGTTGACCAGGCCAAGTGAAAGCTGGATGACCGGCCATCGACCGAACTCTTCGGACCTGTGCGGGTGTCAGATGATGGCGTCATGCAGTGCATTACAGGTTGCTTACCAGGGCGCCCACAGCTCACAGCCAAAGGCGTAGGTGACCAAGAAGATGGCAGCACCGACACGGGCGGCTTGCTCACTGACATGAAATTGTGCGGAGATGCCGCCAAGAGCGTTGGAGTAGAGCGAGGTATTGAAGTTCATGGACACCTGGACGATGAAAATGATGGTGAGGATGTACCACTTCTTCCACGCCGGGAAGGAGTATCCCAGCTCCTCGTAGCAGTCTTCCTCCGTGATCTCGTACTTGTCGTACGTGCCCAGCTTCTCGAGGTTGCCGCCGTTCTTCTCGTTCTTCTCACTCATCTCGTTCGGCGAGGGTTCGTTGTCGTGCGTCTTCTCCGACTTGAGATCGTCGTCATTCTCCTCGAGCTTGGTGTTCGCCAGCTCCAAGTCTCCCGCGCTGCGAACCTCGACAGGCTCCTCGCCGAAATGGGCTCGCGTGTGTTCCGCCATACTATATTATGCGCCTCGTTGCGCTGTATCGTCTGGTGTGTAGTCTATGCGATGACAAACCCCACAATGTACAAATGATGAACAAGATCTCGCGCCAATGCTCGGCGGTCGCACTAGGTGTAGAATGCGGAAGAAGAGGGTGTGAGTGGGAGATGCTGGAAAGCTTGTACTCGTGTGCCGAAGGATCTGAAGAGCATGTGCGATGACATCAGAGCTCACCACGCGGTTGGTGGCTTGCCGCTTGGCGCGCTCCGGCATCCGACATTTCTGGAGATGGCGTCGACTGATGCATCCACTTTGGCTACTGTAGTTCCATGACGACAGACGCATGGCAGATGACTGGCAACTAGCATGACTACCACATGAACTTCCCAATCTCGAGCATGTTTAGACCATCCAGAGACATCGGCCACCACCATCAGAGCGCCGCAATTCCATCCCTGCGCACTGCCTTCCCGCTCCCTTCCCGCTGCACACTCACTTCACCCACATTCTGCTCCCCGCAATCCTCCATCCTGCAATGCAGCGTCACGAAACCTGGTCAGCCGCAAACTCTCCCCGTGCCTCACTCAGACACTTGGCGCCACTGACGAGATGCGGCAGAGTAATAACACCTGAGCTGCCTGACCAGACGGCTGCACTCACACCTCACGGAGAGGTTGTACCCGTCTCCATGCCAAGTGAAAGTGTCCCGAGACTCGTTCGGACGAGCCTCCACATCCCGTGATCAATCCACATCATCAAAAACCATCGCAGCGTCTTATACCACGGAGACCAAGGCGATTTGCCACCACGGTGCCTGTTGTGTATGATGTACGGATCCGCATCTCTACTTGTATGCCGTGGAGCAGCATCCTAGACCCAGTGACTCGACCAGCAAGTCTTGAATATCTTCGGGTCCTACGGGCACAACGGCTCTTGCTGAGCCGAAGACACTGCCAGTAGCGATGTCGCCACAAGTTTCTTACGGCCACATTCTATCTCATACTGTGCGGTCTTCATAAGGTGCGGTGAGTCGCTCGAGGCCTGCTGGACTTCTTCACCAGCAAGGTTGCCCCCTTCTTACTGTACGCGGACACACCTATCGTCCTTCAAAACACGTGCTAGTGACCGAGCATTCACTCTCAGCATCTCCATCACTTCATGGTGGCGCGGGCATCTTGAGAATGCAGACCAAAACATTGCTACCCAAGAACTGCGCCTTGCAGCACTGCTCATTCCTTGCTTCGCGGCAAACAATTTCATCTCAGCCGAAGGTAAGCCTTCCCTATCTTCAGCGCGACTACGCCATGCGGCGACCGCATCAAAATCTAGCTACTGGCGCTCTCATCATCTCGTCTTTGTTATTGCTGTGGCTCCTCACATATTCTGCTGCAACACGCGGCTGGGCTGTACGACGACGGCCTACTTACCAGGCGAGCCCGAACATTACGGCCGAGCTCGAGGCCGAGAATTTTCGCCTGCAGGCCGATCTTCAAGCGGCTAAAGATCAACTGAATTTAAATTTTGCCAATCAGATACAGAATGGAGGCGAAGAAGTGGAAAAGATACAGGACGAGGATGGAAGAATGCAGGGATCAAGCCAGAGGCACAGCTTTGCATACGTTTTTTACGCAACCACGAGTCCATACGCTTGCTCCGTATTGGTCAGCATACACCGGTTAAAGGAGCTCGGCAGCATATACCCAATATACATCTTACTTACACCGACCGTGAGTGCCAGATACAAACAAGCATTCGAAGCTGCAGGAGCGAAAATCTACATACAAGAAGCGCCACCGCTCAAAGACAACAATGCTGGATACTACAAGGACTGTATGCTCAAACTCCTCGCCTTCAAGATGCAAGAGATGGAGCCGCATCTCAAACGAGTCATGTCTTTCGACTCCGACCAGCTGGTGATGCGGAACCTCGACCCCTTGTTCGCCGGTCTCCCGGACGTCGATCTCGCAGCACCACGCGCATACTGGTTAGCGAAGGACTTTCTCACGAGCACATTCCTGATCATCGACCTCTCCGAGCGCTTGTGGCGCACGGTCAAGAGCGCTTTGGACAGTGTGGGCTATGACAAATTCGACATGGATCTCATCAATGACTTGTTGGGCGATACGGTGATGATGCTAAGCGGCGAGTATGTGACTATGAACAGTCATTGGGAGGACTGGAATCTGCCGAAGTGGTATCACCCGCAGGCGGAGCTGAATATGACGAGTATCGAGAAGTGGAATGAGGTGGTCAAGAGCGGAGGTGTAAAAGCTCGCGATGTGGGAGATGGGCAAGATCATGCGGATGGTTCTCCCTCACCGAACGCTCCATTCAGCGCGACTATCGATGCACCGGCACAACTAATGCCTGGCTCACGTCACAACGGCATCGAAGAACAGAAGGCCCCTCCGCCACCTCCTATACCCTCATCAAATCCACGCTTCCCAGACAGCCATCCTCTCAGCATCGAGCTGGACCGCCTGCAGGATGCTGCAGCTGTCATACACTTTTCCGCAGTGGGTAAGCCATGGATCAAGACCCATGCAGATATACGGATGCAGAGACCGGATGCACATCCTCTGCTCGCTGAGCAGTTTGCGCTGTGGCGGGAGATTGCGCAGGAGGTGTGTCCTGGCGGGATCCCATGAGATTATGTTCCAAGATTGATTCTTCTGTACGCTGCCATGGAGAGGTGAAGTAGTTTAGATGTGCACCAGAAGGGAATCTACATGTTTGCGAGTCCGTTGTCCTTGCAGGTGCGGATCTTTCTGCTACACTACCGTCTCATCAGTTCATCTGCTCCACCATGCGAAGCCAGCGCCTGCAAGCACCACTGCAGATGCACTTGCAAGCGTAGTCCACCTCGTCAGGAACCGCTTGAAGCCCATGCCGATCAAGACCTGCACATACTCATTCACCATTTCCGTCTCGTTCACCCGTGGAAATGGCACATCCGGCACCGGCTTGCCCAAGAACTCACACAACGGCTCCCAGCCACTCCCAAGCTTATAAAGCAGCAACTGCGCCCTCGGCACATGATGCTTCACAGCTTGATTATGCGCTCTGTACGCGTCCCGGCTCTTCTCCTCTAGTTCCCTTTTGCTATGCCCGCCCACAAAACCCTTCAGTACACAGTCCGTCGCTACCGTCCACATTTTCCCGATCAGATCCGGATCTAGGTAAGCTACAAACGGAAAGATATAACTATCGTAATTCGCAATCTGGACATCATGCCAGCTTTTATACCACGACTCTACTCCTCTCTCCACAAGCACGCATTTCACATCCGGATATGCTGCTAGGAGCTCTTCGTGGAAGGCTGCGCAAGGCAGATCGGTGGTCGCAGAGACGTGGCCGAGGAGTTTGTCCCAGAACACGCGGTCGAGCTTCGGTGCGCCAGACTTGGGGAAGAATTTGGCGTCGTGTGCTTCGATCCACATATCTGCGTCGGGCATGTCGCGGATCATGGAGGTCATGTGGTAGGTTGGGTAGCCGAGGATTTCGAGGGCGAGTTGCATGGCTGGGAGGATGTTAGGTGTGATAGGATTTGTGTAGCTCCGTTGTACGTGCATGATGTGCCTGTCCTTGAGAAGGCTAGAGACAGCACCTCCATTGGCACCACCCGTTTGCATGTATGTCTGTCCACGTTGGTGAAATCGAAGAGGTCCGGTCTCTGCTCACGAACAGACATATTCACTGCTTTGGATGCCATCTCCCGTTATCTTGCTCAATCTGATCCGAAGATTGGTGGGACCGGGTGTACTTGTCTGCTGCAGGCGGACTATATGGTAGCAGGTGTCACTGAGGCTGAACCGAACGAGTCGTGGGCACGACGAATATAGATGCTGCTGTCAAGCTCACGCCACAGGATCCTTCCAGCTCCGAACATATGCCCTGGCGTTGATGGGAGATGGTGCCGAGGTGCTCCCAGGCGAGACCGAATGCCTCCTCGATATCCTTGCCCTGCGCCATGTCATAGTCAAGCCGATGACCTTGCTGGTGACGGTGGTGTCGTCGTCGAGGATGCAGTCGGATCTACAACTTACATCGAGCTAGCCGCCCCAGCCACTCAGACGCGTTGGGCATCTTGGGGTGCTGTCGCGAGGTACTGGAATGGCTCGTTCGACCGTTTGGTTCCTTCTGCTGAGGTTTCATCTCGATCACGTGATTGCTACGGATCGGAAGGACTTGTCTTCTCCTCCTGGCATATCGTCTGACTTCCAACTTACTCGCCCGATCAGCGCTTCGAAGAGAACAAGTCTTTGTGGATCTGATCGGCCCCTCGAGTCATGTATGAACCACGAATGTGACCACAAGACAGCGTGCTTGTGCCTGCCCTTGACGCTCGGAGCTGCTCGCAGCCGCTTGATATAGTCAGCTGCGCGGCTGTGGCGCAACACAGTGGACATGATGCAGGTAAGGCTGTAGAGCAGCGTTATGGCTTCGCTCTTCAGCATGAATGCCACGTCGAGGACGATCCTTAGTGTCGTCGCGAACGAAGCGTAAGGTGACGTCCAAGCCCTCCTTCACAATACTGCTGCCCGGCCAGGACCAAAGATGCGTCTTCTCATGCGGACCGATGCTGGCGGCGTCACCTTCACTAGAGACTTATCCCAGTCTGAGCTACGGCGTTTCGATTACGCCATTCTCTCGCACACGTGGGGTTCAGCGGAAGAGGAGATCATGTATGAGGACATACTCAAAGGAGAGGGCACAAGCAAGCCGGGTATAGGATCGGAGAAGATGCGATTTTGCGTCGAACAAGCAGCACAAGATGGGTTAGAGTATTTCTGGGTGGACACGTGCTGTATCAACAAGAAGGATGACGCTGAGCTGTCCAAATCGCTTAGGTCAATGTTTCGATGGTATGCCGAAGCCAATCGATGCTATGTCTTCCTCTCAGATGTACTACAAGGAAAGGTGCTCGGAGCAGACTGGGAACACGATTTCCGGCGGAGTAGATGGTTCAGAAGAGGCTGGACGCTACAAGAGCTTATAGCACCCGCCACGCTTGAGTTCTATGCTAGGAGTGGTAAGCGTCTAGGGACTAAGGCAAGCTTGCACGCGCAGATTGTTGAGATAACCGGCATACCAGCCAAAGCCCTCTCTGGACAGGGCCTGGCTAGTTTCACCACACACGAACGCCGCCAGTGGCAGGAAGGACGAGAATGCCTAGAGCCGGAAGATCTGGCCTATTCGTTACTTGGGCTACTCGACGTCTCCATGCCCGTACTCTATGGCGAGGGACTAGACAAAGCACAGCAGCGACTCGAGAAGGAGATCGTGACCGCCCAGAAAGGTATGTCGCATTCAAAAAGCTGCAAAGTGCGCATGCTGTGTGCATGTCAATGGCTGACTCGTGTAGGCCCAAGACATGGTGACTTCTCGATTCCCTTTGGCGACCGGCAAATGAAAGGGGTGGAGAAGCTCGTCGGGAGGGCAAATGAACTGGACTCGATGCATGATAAGCTGGTCGGAAACCGTACTCAGCGCAACACGGTCATCCTCAGCGGTTTGGGTGGCATTGGTAAGACACAATTGGCGGTGGCGTACGCGAAGCGACACAAGGACAGCTACTCTGCTGTTTTCTGGTTCAACATGCGAGACGAGGCATCAGCTAAGCAAAGCTTTGTTGCGACCGCGCAGCGAATTCTGCAATATCATCCATCGGCTGCCCACCTGAGTAGCGTCCATCTCACCGGCAGCCTAGACGAGGTCACGGGAGCTGTGCTGGCGTGGCTAGGGGATCCAGACAACCATCGATGGCTTGCAATTTACGACAACTACGACAATCCGAAGGTACCTGGGAACAGCGATTCGGAGGTTGTTGACATCGACCAATTCCTGCCGGATGCCGACCAAGGGTCGGTAATCATCACGACGCGATCGACTCAGGTCAAGGACGGGCGGGGAATATCGGTTCCGAAGCTCGCAAGCGAGCAAGATAGTGTGGACATCCTGTCGAATGTGTCGGGGAGGAAGTTATCGATGAAGGGTGAGTCTGTCTCCAGCATCTTCGCATCATGCTGACATTGGCATAGATCGTGACGTGGCGGCTCTTGTCAAGAAATTAGATGGACTTCCCTTGGCGCTGGCGACGACGGGCTCCTTCCTTGAGCAAGCGAGCATTAGTGTCGGGGCGTACCTCCAGTTATATGAAACCTCTTGGGCGCAGCTACACGAGAAACACCTAGGCATTAAGGAATATGCCGATCGTGCAGATCGTACACTGTATTCTACGTGGCGAATATCATTTGATCGCATCCAACAGCAGAATGAAGTGGCGGCGAATCTGCTCATCCTTTGGTGCTATTTCAGTAACCAGGATCTATGGTACGAACTCCTGTGCGATGGAGATTCGCAGGATCTGCCGTGGTTACGGACTCTTGCGGGCGACAAACTGGGTTTCATTAGTGCCATGCGATTGCTATGCAATTATGGTCTGGCCGAGAACGACGTCTCTTTGACAGCTGATACAAATTCTGGCGGATACAGTATCCATCCCTGTGTACATTCGTGGACGATTCACGTGCTTAACAAGCAATGGGATGGTAGACTGGCAGATTTTGCTGTTAGCGCAGTTGGTCAACATGTGCCCCGCGAAACGGCGCCAGAACCATGGACGACACAAAGACGTCTCATACAACATGCGGACCGATGCTTGCAGTACCTCTCAGGGCTTGAATTGGTAGACTCCGAGACTGCATATTCTTCGCTTCACGATATGGGTCGCCTCTACGATAACCAAGGGTGGCTAGAGAAGGCGGAGCAGATGTACCTCCGGGCGCTCCAAGGCAAGGAGGAGGCGTGGGGCCCGAAGCATACGTCGACCCTAGGGACCGTTAACAACCTCGGCATCCTCTATTGGAAGCAAGGCAAGATGCGGGAGGCGGAGGAGATGTACCTCCGGGCGCTGCAAGGCTTCGAGGAGGCGTGGGGCCCGAAGCATACGTCGACCCTAGAGACCGTTAACAACCTCGGCATCCTCTACTCGGATCAAGGCAAGATGCGGGAGGCGGAGGAGATGTACCTCCGGGCGCTACAAGGCTTCGAGGAGGCGTGGGGCCCGAAGCATACGTCGACCCTCGATACCGTTAACAACCTCGGCCTCCTCTACTCGGATCAAGGCAAGATGCGGGAGGCGGAGGAGATGTACCTCCGGGCGCTACAAGGCTTCGAGGAGGCGG